TGAGGATCGCAGTTCAAAGCCAGCCCAGGCAGGAACATCCATGAGTCTCTTATTTCGATTAACGACCAGAAAACTGGAAGTGGCACTGTGGCTCAAGTGGTAGAGTGCTCACCTTGAGCTGAAGAGCTAAGGGACAGCACCCAGGCTCAGAGTTCAAGCCCTATGACCGACAAAAAGAAAAAACATTCTTTTTAAAATTAGCATTTGCTCATTACACAGTTCTCACTCAGTCCCACCTTACTGTCAGCTGTGTTTAATTGTTCCATGATCTGCTGTTTCCCTGTCCTTAACTTTGTAAAAATCTGCCTATAGAAAAGCAAATGGTCCTCAAAAAGCAAGAAAAAAATCTAATGTTTTAGATTTGTTGAAAGGTATCATGTGTGTAGTGGAAGTTGGAAAAAATGAATCAAGTATCTGTAGTACAGTACTAAACTTGGTGGGTGGGTGTGCACGCATGTGCGCATGCACTGCTCTTGAAGCTTGAACTCAGGGCCTGGGTGGAGTCTCTAAGCTTTTGTGCTCAAGGCTATTGCTCTACCACTGAGCTAAAAAATCTTAACATGAGGTAACATCATGACATACAGCTTCCTTATACCCAAAAGCATGGCATATATAAGAAATAATCATTTTATTTGCAAAGCACTTTATGATTTTCAAAATACTTTCACATTCATTATTTAATTCAATCCTCAAAGTAACTCTATGAGATACAAAAGGAATATTAGCTGCTTTACAGAATAAGTTAAAGGTGTGGGGAAGTGACTCATTTGAGCCTAATTAATCAGTTAACAGAAACCTCAATTTTTAAACCCTTAAAGTTTATCTTTTTAGCATATAACCTTTTGTCACCTAACTTTCCATGGAAAGCCAAATGACTATTTTGTAGCCATAAGAAATATCTGCAGTATTTCTGGGGCCTGTAAAACAGTATTAACAATATGCATGTTTATTTTTATGTATTTTTGCAATGGTGGGAGATGGAACCTAATTATGCACACTTAATAAAAGGACACATTTAGCTTTTCTTCAACCAGAAATTAAAAACTTATGTAAAAATTAATATGTAACATGACTTGTGAAGACTTAAAAAAGCCACAACAGTCTAAACTTCCCCCAAATCTGTTCATATAACATATTTGGGTATTCAATAATTTATTTCACAAATCTGTTATGATATAGAAACACATAATCAGAAAAGTCATGACATTTACCACAGTTACTGTGCAAAATTTTCACAAAAGTCTTTGAAAAGCTGAGGAAAACTTCCCCAAACCATTCTACTATCTGTGAGTCTATAACCCTGTTGCCTCATTTTCAAGTTCAAAGAGATAGACAATGCATTCATAGTATGAAAATTCAAGTTCTCCTAATCCTTAACACATTGAGACAATTATTCAAGTACAAAGGGAAAGCCCTTATAAAAGGTCCAAAAAGAATTTATCCAGCAATAAAGCTTAAAGAAAACCTTTCCCAAAATAGGGTTTTGAGTGAGAGTCAGCCAGTCCGTGAAAAACTCAAACACCCATTCTGGTATAAGATTATGTTCTCTCCTGTCCACTTGTAATTACTTTTCCATTTCTAAGAGGCAAAATGCCCACCTCTCCTGAATCACTGCATTAAAAAACAGAACTATTTTATAAGTAAAACGATTAGTATATAACCTCCTCCCCCCTTGTCCAAGGCTTAAACTTGTATCTTAATTTCTTTCTTGCCTTACTGCTCACAGCTGGTTCTCTACCATTGAGCTATGCCTCTCGCTCAGTGTTTTGCTGATTTAATTGGAGTTGGAGTCTCATGGATTTTTTTTTTGTCCTTGATTCCTCTGAACCTCAATTCTTCAGGTTTTGTCCTCCTAAGTAGCTAATATTACAGATGTGAGCCACTAGCATTTCACTAATTAAGTGTAATCTTATTTTAAAATGGACTATGAAAGAATTTCTATACTATCTCTAAAAGCCTATACATCTTTGGATGCCAGTCATATACCATATAAAGTTAAATGAGCTATCCAAGATATCTGAGTCTAAAAATACACTTTAAAAAAGTTATTCTGAACTAGTCAGATAGGCATTTCAACAAATGTCATCAAATGTTGCATTAACTATGCCAGGTTAAAAAGAAAACTCTCCAAGTATATCATGAAGCGAATGACCTACCCACTGAAGATTATATGGCCGTGTCCTCACCATCCCCTCACTCAACACATGTACACACAACCAATGTAACAAGAGAGGAGTTCAAGCCAGGTGCCAGTGGCTCAAGCTACTGAGGACAGTGGTCAGAACCCAGCCTTGGCAGGAAAATCCATGAGACTCTTAGCTTCACTTAACCACCCAAAGGCCAGAAGTGTACCTGTGGCTCAAGTGGTAGAGTTGATAACCTTGAGCAAACAAGCCCTGTCCCTGATTTCAAGCCCCAGCATCAGCACAAAATCACTTTATCTACTTATTTAGTTTCTTTAGTTTGGGGTTCAGACACCAAGAGATTCTAATGTGAAAAAAAATGTTTCTAATAAAAATAGAATCTGGTACTAGGAGAAGAACGAAAACATTTACTTATAAAAGATGTTATTGAAAGAACTGCCTTCAAAAGTCACTTGAAAAACAAAAAGCTTAATTTAGGCATTAGGTGCTGTCCCTGAGCTTTTACACTCAAGGTTTGTGTTCTACCATTTGAGATACAGCTCCACTTCCAAATTTGCTGGTTAATTGGAGATAAAAGTCTTAGGGACTTTCTTGCCTGGGTTGGCTTCGAACCATGATTCTGAGATCTCAGCCTCTTGGTAGCTAGGATTATCAATGTAAGCCACTGGCATCCAGACAAAAGTCTGTTGGTTTTAAGAAAGTAAAACTACTGACTTAAAATCAAGTTTCTTATAAATATTAAGACCTATAAGATTCCCTTATTTGGGTGGGAAGGTGGCTCAGTGGTAGAGTGCTTGCCTCACATGCATGAGGCCCTGGGTTTGATTCCTCAGCACCACGTAAGCAGAAAAAGCCAGAAGTGGCTCTGTGCCTCAAATGGTAGAGGGCTAGCCTTGAGCTGAAGAGCTGAGGAACAGCACCCACACTCCGAGTTCAAGTCCCACGACCGACTTAAAAAAAAAAGATTCCCCTATTTGCTGTCACTAAAAATTCATTAGCAATCTAAAATTCTGAAGTTTACACTTTATAGTATACATGAAAAGAAATATTTTTAATCTGTTAATAGGAAATATGCAATCACTATAACCCATGTCTTCTTCTAGAACCCACCAGAAAGTTCTCCATTTGAAATGGAAATTTACCAAAACAACTTTTTATTTTTCAGTGCCAGTCCCAAGATCCTCAGATCTCAGCCTCCTGAGAAGCTAAGATTATACATGAGCTACTGGCACCAAGCAACAAAACCATTCTTAACTTTACAACTTCAGTATGAATTCTAGATTCTGGAATAGCTTAAAATCAAATATGCTAAGACTAAACATAAAGCACAGGCAAGCCTTGGGGAAAATGAAATTTAAAATACAAGATACTGATGGTTAAAAATCATATTAATGTCTAAAACATAAAACAAAATCAACTGGGGATATAGCTCAGTTGGTAGAGTACCTGCCTAGGATGTGCAAGGTCCTGGGCTCCATAGCAGGGGTTTAAAAAAAAAAACTCACAAAACACCCAAAAGGAGCACTGCTCTTACTTACAAAAGGACGGGAATTCTAACATCAGGATGGAAAGTCAAAGCATATTAGTCCACTTTATAAATATCCATGTCCTTTCTTGGACTCAGAAATCCACTAACCCATGTCCCTTGGGTCTCTTCCATTTCCACCTCACTGAATATCACATGTACAACATCTAGCCAAAGGCAGAGATTTCTCTTGAAGATTTCTAAAAATTAAAACCAGAAGAAAAATAGAGAATACTCTTAATGTCTAAAGCTGCCATACATCTTTCCCTCTTGTGAAGAACAAACCTCCTGCTGAAAGATAATCACTTTTAAACAAAGTTCTACATATAAACACACGTACTAATTATAATAATTCAATATAATCATAATATCCTATAGATTTTCCTAGTTCTTTGGAAACAAAAAAAAAAGCTACTAGGAAAAGTATCTTAAAACATTTTTTTTTCAGAAAGAGAATAGCAATAAAAAAAACTCACTAGATTAATTAGAATTCCCCCACCTTTCAAGGCAGATTCCTTAACACTAAGTGAAAAAATGCTTTTCTAAATTATTTACTACTACATCAGTTGATTCTGTTTAGCCACAAAGAAAACATCTCAATTCCCTACGTTAAAAATCAATATATTACAGTGTGTATCACTCTCTACCACATATACACACACATACATATATATGTACATTTTTTGTGGTGCTAGGAACTGGATCCAAGGCTTTGCATGTATGAACACTTACTTATCACTGGACTCTATTTCTATAGTCAATGGTGTATTGTTTCTTCACTACACTGCTTATGACACCAAAACCTTAATGATCTAATATTTCAAAAGTCTTTACATAAAAACAATAGGTAACACTAAAATCACATTGTTATATATTTTTCACCATTATAATTGCACAGCTACCAGTCTATAATTTACTTTTAGCTTATTTAAATACATTTTGCTTAAAGGAGAAACCTAATTCACAATTCAAATATTCTCAGTATAGAAACAAAAGGCAAAAGCACTGCACCACAATCAATTCTATGTACATGTGTCTTAGAGCTCTGTGAAGCACAGCACAAAACATAGCTCAGTTTGCATGAACTGAGGCTTCAGGGCTCGTTGCAAAATTCTAAAAGTAATGTTTAAGTGTTCACATTCTTAGCCTATTGAAATGTCTCTTAAGAGAACACAACACAAAGCATTTGGACATGTGACAAAGTGTTGATATTCATAGTATACTTATATTTTGGCATAGATATAAAACAAAAATAAAAATGCTGTTAGTACATTGATATGTTTTAGTATTTCCTGTTGAAAGTTTCCAATTGCATGTGAAGTCCAAATAGCTGGGGAGAATCCGGAAAATCGACAAGAAAAGGATGACTTTTTAGAATGCTGACGCTTTTCACACCCAGGTTCAGTCATGGCAGCTGAAGTGTTAGGTATGGCTTTATTCCTTTTAAATCTGAGAACTGTAGTCACTTCCATGACATTTCAAATACTGGAACCAAAAGCATTTTTTCTTCATGATTCTGAGCCTTCTTGGTTCATAATCATGTTTAGAAAACCATTTCTATAAACTTAATTCATACTTGTATAGAACATTTGCTCGCTACTGCTTAGAGTCCAAGTATTCTGCCCTAGACCTCCTAGAGAAATAGGAATACAGATACTAAAAAAAAGATAGCTAAAACCATAATACACACTCTCTCTCTCTACACACACACACACACACACACAGAGCCTCGGAGCCCCTTCAGACATGACACCCACTAAGGGGGCCTTTGCTTCTAACTGTGTAAGGGTCTCCAGCTGTGGTCTGACTTGCACAAGAAGTACAGACAGCCCCTGAGAGGCGCTTTAGTCCCCTTTGGAAAACACTGTTGGACAGACTGTAAATGATACAGTTGCAGAAACTATTACTAATAGCAAGCCAGGTTGTCAAGAAGGATGCAAAGCGGTTGCTGTGGCCAGTGGAACTCTCCAACAAGAAGTAGATGATGTATGGCAACCAGAGGATATAAAACACACTAGTGATTCGGAACAGGACCATAGCATAACGTTTATCAGGGCAGGCCTGTACTTCCCCAGTCTCCCCATTCTGGCTGCTGAAGCGGGCTTGCCTTTCGCTGATTTCCTTTGTGTGCTGTTGACAGATTCGGAAGATGTTGAAATACGTGAAGCAGACAATGAGGGCTGCAGGGGCATATAACGTCATCACGATGAACAAGGTGAAGTAGGGGTCAGTGTGCCAGGACTCTGCGCACCACTGGTACACATCTCCATGATAGCCAGGTTTGCCCCAGTGGAAAAAAGAGGGCAGGAAGACCAGCGTGGAGTACAGCCAAATCAGGAAAATACAAAGGCGTAATCTACAGGGCGTAACCAGGGTATTATAAGTTAAAGGCTTAGTGATCGCAATGTATCTGTCAATACTAATGCAGGCCAGAGAGGCCATGGAGACACTCTTTAGAACTGACACCATAAAACCAAATATCTGGCAAGTCAAGGACTCCTGAATTGGAAGTGGGTAGTGAAGGAGTGATAAAGAGGGTACTAGGCAGCTCACCCCAACCAAGAGGTCAGCATATGCCATTGTCTGGATAAAATAACTGGTGGTGTGATGGTTCAACAAAGGTGCACAGTGAAATACAAAAATCACAATGATGTTCCCAGAAATAATCAGTACAGTTAGAAAGACAATAATAATCACTTCCAAAAGGCAAAAACTGACAGATTCCAAGTAGCCAAATGCCAAGAGACAAAAAGGGTGGCTGCTCTGATTACCATCCAAGCTGGAGTTCATCTTGAGCTCAGGAGCGATCTCTCACTTCATGCTGCCGCTTGGCTGCTGCCAACAGTTCAAAGGAGCAGCTGCTGTCATCGCGGTCAGCTGTGTGTGTGTGTGATAATGCAGAGGAGCCTCAGTCCCCAGGCTCCCGATGCTGCTGCTTTGGTGCATTGCCTGCAGTGCAATTCCCCTTTATATCTTTCTTGGAATAAGGAGAGCCAACAGCAGTTGTCTGGCCAGTCCCAGATGTGGCCATAGTGCCAGATTCACCATACACATAGCACCAGGGGAGTAAGACAACCTTGGGGGACAATGTCTTCAAGCCAAGTGAGGTTAGGGGTAAGGGGCAGAAGAAGGGAGATTAGGAGCTTCAGCAGGAGTTGCAATGAGTCTCCTCTGAACAGCTGATAGAAGAAAAGGAGAGAGTATTTTACATTTTGTATCCAATGCCCTAATCAAAGAACCTAGCTAGCTCAGGGCAGCCTTACCCTTCCCGCTCTACCCCTCCGGACACCACAATTTATGGCTATTCTTGCTAGCACCCACATAACTAGTCTCCAACAGAGGAGGATCGGCAACACTAACCTTTCAGGATCAGCATGAAAGAAAAGCAATCACAGATCAATCTATTCTTATTTCCTTTTATTTGACCCTTTTGAGGGGAGAAAAGAAATCTGCTTCTAGCAATTCTGAAAACATTTCATTATAATTGCCATTAACAAAATTAAGCCAAGATATCTTGCTCTCTCTCTATTAAAGTATTTACCTCTGAAAATACTTTTAGCAGAATGTATCTTTTTAGCTCAATTTCAGTGTTACCTGTAATTCTGCATGCTGAAATCCAAACAAAGACCACATAAATCCTTAACAGAAAGCCTTGCAGCGCAGGAATGTGCTTCAGCCTGTGTACTGCAGAACTGAGACACAGAGGGAGGGGATAAAAAAAGTAGGAGGGGAAACAAGGAGAAGAGGGGGCTTGGGAAAAGGAAGAAAGGGGGAGGGGAAAGAAAACGCATGTGTGCACGCACACTTGAGCATCTTTAGCAGCTCATTAGCATTCATTGCCAGAAGTGCTCCCTGATTTCCAGACTGCACAACGGGGAATGACTTAGTATGCTGTTGTGCAGCACTTGAAGGCTGTTTCCTCGTCTGTCTGGAATCCCCCATTAGCAGATAAGCATAATCCAGGCAGTTGGCAAGCAAGGAAAACGGGTAGTAACCAGAGCAGAGTTGGGAGTTAGACTGACACACATTTGCAGAGGGACAATCGAGAGAGGAAATTCCTATTTTCTTATAGCATTTCCCCAAGAACAAAGAACAATGTTAAAGAAAGGAAGTACGTTAACAGTGCATGGCAACTGAGAAGTTGTCATAGTTTCACTGTACAAGTAGTTCTAGTTGGCAGTTCCCAGGCCCTGAGCACAAGGCCCACCACCAACACACACACACACACACACACACACACACACACACACACACACACACAAGGCCCACCACCAACACACACACACACACACACACACACACAAGGCCCACCACCAACACACACACACACACACACACACACACAGTTCTAGTTGGCAGTTCCCAGGCCCTGAGCACAAGGCCCACCACCAACACACACACACACACACACACACACACACACACACACACACACACACACACACACACACACACACACACACACACACACACAGTTCTAGTTGGAAGGCTAAATATTTAGCATGATTTTCTTTCTCATGACTCACTGAATATTGACTAATTTAAATGAAGAAACTTTAAAACCAGTTTTTCAAGAGAAAAATTAATATTGCCTAATCTGATAGTAAAAAAAAACGTAGCACATACGTAGAGGAGAAATCGTTTCTGAATTTAACATTATCCTGTAGTTATTTTCTTTTTCAAGATACTTTTTTTCAGTGTTGGGGAAATGAAACCAGTGCCTTGTATAATCCAGGCAAACAGTCTACCACAGAGCTACATCCCCTAGTCTTGGCCTGTAGTTTTGAGGCATCATTTCTTGCTTCTAGACCACACTACAAGTCAGTACAAATATAAAAACAAAAAAAACAAAGGTAAATTACCCATTCCCAAACAGGCTTGAAAGTTCCAGGAAGTTTCATTGTATAAATAAGTCTTTGAATATCAAAACAGACAACCTGGTTTCTAATTACTTTAAAAAATGCAAATTGGGATTTCTTGTGTTTTTTCCCCTGATAACATCATAAATGATTAATTTTCAGGTAATTGGAAGTAGGATGATATGGGAACGGGGTAGTTTTAGTTATTTTTTCCTTTGGGTGTATATGAACTTTCATTTTTTTTCTAGACAAAATTATCAGTTCTCCATAGAGCAAAAGAAAATAAACATTGGTATTTTAACACATTTGAGGTTTGTATATTTAAGTAGAAATATATTGTGATTGGGCTTTCTTTCTTTCTTTTTTTTGATCAATCCTGGGGCTTGAACTCAGGGCTTGAGCACTGTCCCTGAGCTTTTGCTCAAGGATAGCACTCTACCATTTGAGCCACAGCGCCACTTCTGGCTTTTTTTACTTTTTGCTTATGTGGTGCTGAGGAATCGAACCCAGGGCCTCATGCATGCTAGGCAAGCACTCTACTACTAAGCCACATTCCCAGCCCTGGACTTTCATTTTTATTCTTTTTTTTTAATCATATACTTTTTTTGTTGGTTTTGTTGGTTTTGGGGCTTGAACTCAGGTCCTGGTTGCTGTCCCCAAGCTTTTGCACTCAAGGCTAGTACTCTTAACACTTTGAGTCACAGTGCCACTTTTGGTTTTCTGGTGGCTAATTGGAGATAAGAGGCTCACAGACTTTCCTCTCTCAGTTGGCTTGGAACCTAGATCCTCGGATCTCAGCCTCCTGAGTACCTAGGATTATAGGCGTGAGCCACTGGTACCTAGCTTATATGCCTTTGTTTGTTTGTTTGTTTGGTGCTGGTCCTGGAGTTTGAACTCAGGACCTGGGTGCTGTCCCTGAGCTTTTTGATGTTGTTGTTCAAAGTTAATGCTCTACCATTTGAGCTGCAACTCCACTTCTGGGTTTTTGGTGGTTAACTGGAGATGAGTCTTAGGCCTGGGCTGGCTTCAAACGGCAGTCCTCAGATCTCAGTCCCTTGAGTAGCTAGCAGTAAAGTCATAAGCTATTAGTATCTAGCACTACAGTTTTAAGGCACATAACAGTTCTCTGTATACAATGTCGTCATGCATTGCTCAACTACGTTAAGGCTATGCATATACAAGGAAGTTAAGGTACCAGAAAAAAAAGATGAATGTCAGGACATCAATTATTTCCTCTATACACATAGTTGCTCTGCCTAGATTTCTAGACTGGACATTAGTTCTGAATTCCCTCTGTTTACAATTTGCCTACTGGACTCATTTGGATGTCCTTAAAGATTTTACCTACCTCCAGCCTTATCTATACTCCTACTTTGAAACTGACAAGCTTTTTCTCACCTTTGAACACATGCTATTCCCTTTCTAACTCCAACTCACTTCCTAGATGATTTCAGAATTAGAGACCTTTTAGAAAACAAATGAGAAATCCTTTATGTTATCTGGACTACAGCACTATATATTCTTTTTTCTAACACTCTGAAGCAATCTATTCTATTTGTTTATAATTAATTGCCTGCATCTCGTTAGATGAAAAACTCCTGCAAATCAATGGACAGATTTATCTTATTCATGGATATATCCTTAAGACTGGCACAGGACTGGCACTGAATAAACAAAGGCCTAATACAACAGAAGTTTCACTAAGATTGCTTATATAAGAACAACTGGATTTACCTATAATTACAGATTAGGCATCCCTAATCCTAAAATGTCTCAAAATTTCAATTTTTTGAATCCTAATTTTAATTAAAAATGTGTGAGATTTGAGAGCATTCACATTTTATTTTCATCACATTAGGGATGATCAATCAGTGAAGTCTATGTAAAATATCACAAAATCTGAAAACCTCTAAAATCTAATGTTCCTGTTTTCAAGTATTTTGGATAAGCAATACTAAATCTGTATTACACTGAAGCAAATTAAATTTCTGTTGGGGGGCTGGGAAGGTAGCTCAGTGGTAGAATGCTTGCCTTGCAATGCATGAGGCCCTGGGTTCGATTCCTCAGCACCACATAAGCAAAAAAAAAAAAAAAAAAGCCGGAAGTGGCACTGTGGCTCAAGTGGTAGATCGCTAGCCTTGAGCTGAAGAGCTGAGGGACAGCGCCCAGGCCCAGAGTTCAGGCCCCACAACCGGACCCAAAAAAAAAAATTTTTTTTCTGTTGGTTAAAAATTGTCAAATAATGTCTGAACACAGCATACTGAAACCTACTGATGGGAGCTGGGGTACAGGTCAAGTGGTAGAGTGCCTGACTTAGGCAAGTGAAGGCTCTGAGTTCAAACCCCCCAAAAAGAAAAGAAACCTAATAAAGTCTGTGAAAAGGCAGGAGAGTGGGGTGGGCTGGGGTTAGATAAAGGGTTGCAGAAATGGAGAACTAAAAACAATATAGTCAGGGTGAATTATCAAAGTACATTACATTATATGCATGTATGAAAATAGCACAATGAAAATCCTTTCAAAAACAATTAATTGAAAGCAATTAATTGATGCTAATAAAATTAACTGTCCACTACCAGTAATTCTAATATGGCCAAGCCTAATAGGTTTATATTCTTTTTTTTTTTGGGGGGGGGGGGGGGCAGTTGTGGGGCCTGAACTCTGGGCCTGGGCGCTGTCCCTCAACTCTTCAGCTCAAAGCTAGCGCTGTACCACTTGAGCCATAGTGCCACTTCCAGCTTTTTTCTTTTTGCTTATGTGGTGCTGAGGAATCGAACCCAGGGCCTCATGCATGCAAGGCAAGCACTCTACCACTGAGCCACCTTCCCAGCCCTGGTTTATATTCTTATAAATCAGGAAATCTTTAGAAATCTCTACATAGATAAAACACACAGAAAGTCTCTTAGAGGGGAAAATAATCTCAGAGATGAAATATGAGAGCTTAAAATTATTTTCACAAACAATAATATAACAGGAATATGACAATTTCTTTCTCTCTTTTTTTTTTTTTGGATGGTCGTGGGGCTTGAACTCTGGGCTTGGGCGCTGTCCCTGCGCTCTTCAGCTCAAGGCGAGCGCTCTACTGCTTGAGCCACAGCGCCACTTCTGGTTTTCTAGTGGTTTTTATTGGAGATAAAGAGTCTCACGGACTTTCCTGCCCAGGCTGACTTTGAACCGCGACCCTCAGATCTCAGCCTCCTTAACAGCTAGGATTACAGGCGTGAGCCACCAGCACCCGGCTAGGAATATGACAATTTCTATACGGAAGCAGGCAATACAGTTCTATAGATCACTCACAACATTATTTCTTATAGAATCATACAGCAAAACTATCTAGTTAGGAAATGGTAGAACCGCAGCCTAAGTTTTGAACAGAACTCAAACATTACAGCGGTCCACAGTATGTAAAGTATTGGTTCCAGGACCCCTGTTGGATACCAGTATCTATGGATGCTTAAGTCTCTTATATAAAATGCTGGGCTATTTGCATATAATCTACATATCTCATATATTTTAAATCATCTAAACTTATACCGCCATAAATATGTAAATTAAATACAATTCAGATTAGAATTATACTTATACTGCAGGGTGTTGGGGTAATTAGGTTGGTAAGTTTTTTCTTTCTTTTTTTAGATACTAGCATTTGAACTCAGGGTTTCCTATTTGCTAGGCATGTGCTCCACCATTTGAATCAAATCCCCAGTCCTTTTTCTTTAAATTACTTTTCAGGTAGGCATTCAAGTTTTTGTCCAGAGCCAGCATCAAATTGAGATCCTACTGCATACTACCTCCCTCATAGCTCAGATCACAGGTATACACTACCACATACACATTCTAA